GAGAGCCCCGCGCTGGTACGCACGTGATATATAAACAATCAATGTGTCGTCGCAAACAACACCCCCCCACCCAAGCGCGCGCTCAGCAGGCCACGGTAAAATTATCAAAGGCTGACTGGTCCGCGGCGATAAAAAGGTTGGGGACCACTGCTGTACACAATGCTTTAAAACTCAGTCCATACGAGTGGCATATTATGAAATACAGTATGCTAAAACACTTTTAAAAATATTACTACTAATAATATATGTTTTAAAATTAAGCATTTAAATATAACAAAACTGCTGCCTAGTTACTATAGACAAATTCCAAGGCATTAAATTTCAGAATGATTCCTGCCTATGTTGTCTGGATGTGACGTGAATGATTTATATGAGCTGATATAAAAGCTGACAAAACAGATATTTGATTTAATATTCTATGTAAAACAAAGCTTTCTGCTTGTTTTCTAATATGCATTTGCAATGTTTTATTTATTTGTCTAGCATACTAAATTACTTGAAAAGTGGGTGAAAGATACAATAAAGTTTACCCTTATCCAGAAGAACCATATACCCATATTGCGAATTCCAGCCATTGAAGTAAATATGAAGTACATGATGATGGTGGTAATAAGAATATAATCTAAGGGAAATACCTAGAAAATAAATGCACTATATTTATACATCAGGAAAATGTTATCACTCTTCAGCTTTAAAATTTGAGAAAAACTCAAGCAATAAAATTATAAATAAAAATGTTACTAAATCCAATATATTCAACAATAATAAGACAATGACAGAAAGTAATATTTTATCCCAATTTTTACAATATTAGTATCAAAATAATTAATTAAATGTGTTGTTAAACAGTCAGAATTGATATGTCCTCCCAAAAACTCTTCTGTGTTCAATACTTAGTTTATGGAAAGTGGGGATAAAGATCTTTATGGAATCAAGAGATTCCCAGCTCCAAAATATGGATAAATAGCAACCTAATTTCAACAAATAGATTGAAAACTATTTGCATGCTAAAAAAACCTGCCCCCATACCGTCAAGATGCAGTCCAGATAGAACAATTTAGTTTATTATATTTAATTTATATATTCTCAACCAATAATAGTTTAATAGTTTTCAAAAAATAACTGTTATTTATTGGAATCAGAGTTTTCATTTTCTATCAATCATTGTCAAAGATGTATATACTATTTCATGTATATTATATTATTAACTCATTGTTTAATATTTCATTTGCTTATTTTTAAAACTTTTTATTTTATTAGCATTCAAGTCCTTAACATTCAGTAGAAGTGAAGTTTTACTTACTGTCTGTAGAACAGGTAACAACATATTCAATGGGTTGGTCAAATTAGTTCCCAGGATTATAAATCCAGAACTTATACCAGTAGAATGAAGTGCTTTATCCAAACTGTGAGAATTTAAACATAAATTGTTATTGCTTGATTTAAAAAAAAACCATTCTGAATACATTTCCTGTATCAAGTACATAAAAATAAAGATGCACATCAACATTTTAGAAATTATCTTACAACATTTGATAGTGATAATGATTAGGAACATAGCATTTTCTATTTTAAATTGTGCACAGATCAGGATTGATACTTGTACAGTGGAACCTCGGGTCACGAACGCTTCTGACCACGACCAAATCGGGTGCTAAATCCGCTAAATGTTTTACTCTGTTCACAAACACATCCTCAAGTGGTGATCAATCATAGCCGCGGTTTCCCCTGCCACCGCGATTCCCCTGCCACCCTTTTTTTCCTGCACACATGCGCAGTCAGTCTTGCTTCTAGTCACGATCAGATCAGTTGCCAATCAAAGTTCTGGAACGGATTATGGTTGTGACCAGAGGTTCCACTGTATATATCTTCTAAGGAATTTATACATTCAGAAAATGTAACGTTTTATTATAGAAAATTCAGGAGACTCATGAAGTATACATTAATCTGATAATTATCACTCATGTTTACATTAATATGAACTGTTGCATTGTTGAAGTTCTCCAAGCTTGATTTGGGGATTGCTAATAAAATTTCATTACCCCACTAGGAAATGTCATTGTACAGGAGTTTTGGAAAAGTGCAGATTCCCTGCCAACCAAAACCCTCTCTCCAAAACTCCTAAATTGATGATGTTACTAAGTAGGGTAATGAAACATCAATACTTATTACACATATCTGCTGTAATGGCAATAAAATGAATTCCCTGTGAGTGCAGAATTTTATGGAAACCTTTTGCAAAATCAGAAATATATCTGGGGTTTTATTTTTAAATTCTATGTATTATATGCCTTTTAAAATAGCCTCTATTCTACTCTCAAAATATTATGCATTACAATTCACACTCCTCCGCTGACATCCTATATATTTTTGCACATTTTGAGCAAACATCTGTTTTTTTTAAAAATCCATGTATTTATGCATGTCCACAGTGCCAATAATTCAGGAATAATCCTCTAAAAACACTAGAGCCAGGAGAGACATTTACAGACTTCCTTTTTTTCCTTTGTCAATTTTCATCTCATCCTTTCATCTTAATATATATGAAATAGGAACATATAAACTTGTTCGTAAGTATGCCTTCAAGTCAATATCGACTCCTGACAACTGTCTGGAGAAATCCAGGCGGTTTTCCTGGCAAGATTATTTTGCCCTTGCTTTCTCCTTAAGGGTAAGAGTGAGTGACTGGCCCCAAAGTCACCCAGCTCATTTTGTACCTAAATGGCTACTATGCAAAAGATACAGATTTGAAAATGGTTCCAGAGAATTTCCCAGTGTTCCGACCACTCTCCAGTCGATTCATAATCTCTTTTAGGCTATAGCTTTTCAGGATTGTTCAGCTATATCCAGAATAAATTGTCTAGTAGTTTGAAGTGTCTCTATAAATGAAGCAGGGGATGGGTCAACCCAGAGTACTTCAAGCCATTTATGGTCTGCAGCATTTAGTTTCAGAAAGTGACAAAACACCACCAAAACAGAATAGTCCAGAATGAGAATGTGTCATTCCCATGATTTAAATAGGAGCTACAACAAATATTCAACAATAAACAAATGAAGAAACAATGATTATATTACCTCTATCAAACTGTGTTTAAGCCATATAGCATTTGTTGTAAAAGCAACAAGATAATTGTAAATATTAGTTCACAGAGCGATAAGGATATGGCTTCTAAATAGCTACTTAATACTTTTCCATTATCAGTGAAATCTACTTCCCCAGCAGTTCATTAGAAAGCCATTAAAAAGAAACTAAGAAAGTCTCCATCATAATATAAATTGGTTCTAAATTGAAAATAGTTATTTGCTAAGATTTCTGTATCCCTATCCCTTTCATCTCATGAAATCTTGTTAAAGCAGTATGAGAAAATCTTATCTGAAGAAATACTTTCAGTATTTCAAAAAGCTTGCACCAAGGTAGGACATTAAACTTTTTCTTCATGTGTTTACTTGAATGTATAAGGAATTGAGAGCATATTAAAATATGCTCAGCACACTGGTCATCCACTTTACTTTCTGTAATATTCAAAGGTCTGAAGAACTGTTTGCTTAAATTTGAATAGTACAGCCTTGCAATCAATTCGTCTTTTGATATGCAAACAGCTGATTTACATTCAAATAAACACCCAAAGGTATTTTCAGTCTTCTGTGCTAAACAAGACAATGGTGGGTATGTGGCCCATGTTCTGTTCATTTTCAAGCTCACAAGTTTCTGGTGAACACCTGATATGGACATTCATATCAAGTATTGGCCCAAGTCTGGCTGAATGATTTTCAGTAGATACATTTTAAAATGAAAATCACATGTTATATACTTACTTCGACAGGAAGAGAGAAATAGTGAACAGCAGAGCCACAAGTATAAAAAATATTCCCCATACAATCTGAAACACAAGCAAGTTTGAAAAACAGTTTAGCACATTCTCAACAATGCATAGTTTGTTCTGCTATTATTTAATGAGATAAATACGAGAAATTTGTTAACAGGGCATTTTTCCTCATAATTAAAAATGCAGCATCTACATATTACCGAAGCCTTTGCTAATAACACCAGAATCTACTTTGAATTCTTCAACACATATTTGCTCATGCAAAACAAAACAAGAAAACTAGAAATATTATCTTTATAGAGATTCAAGACTACAATTGAAAATCAAGTGACATAAGTTAACCTGAAGGCTTCAATTCATTTTCCGAAAAAGATTTTTGTCCAGATATAGGACAAATTAATTTGTACATATGATTATTTAGGAAAAGATCTGCAGAAATGACAATGTACATTTAAATCTTTGTAAAAAGTGGAGAAAACAACTAAAGCACATATTTATGTATATTTATTATTCTAGCATGTGTAAACCATCTAGTTCATAGTCTTAGACAAAAGATAAAGCACATAAATACATGTTCATATAAGGTGCCATTTCCACAAATGAGAAAAAATATTTTAGACATAATTTCTGCCTACCAAACTGAGTTCATTTTTTAAAAGGACGTCTTCTTTAAATAATTAAAGCAGTAAGATCAGAGCTCAGTGCAAGGTTGGAGTCTAAATGTGTCTATACATGCTGCAAGAGAGAATCATATAAATTTAAATGATTTGGAATAATGTATTATTCTGTAATAAGATCCTACTTGTGTTTTAGTGTTTTTGATTTAATACTCAATGTTATGATTCTCATTGTTCAAAACAATATAAAGCCTATTTAAACACTGAACTTTGTTTACATTACAGCTGTTGCAGCTGTAAGATTACTGCTAGTTACCTACAACATTATACCATTATTTACAAATACTTTATTCAAACTCTTGACTCTGATCTTTAATACTGAATAAATGTAAGAAGCCTAGACAACTGCAGTGTGCTAAACAAGTTCCCAAGTTTTTGGAAAGACATACATTTGACCTACATCTTGGCGAAACAATTTTCATAAGCTATGTATAACTTTCACCAGAAAGAAATTATTCTTATAACAAAACAAGACTTTTTTGGTGGAAATTTAGTCCCAATATGACAGTGGTTCCCAAACTTGGCAACTTTAAGACTTGTGGACTTCAACTCCCAGAATTCTCCAGCCAGCTGCTGGCTGGAGAATTCTGGGAGTTGAAGTCCACAAGTCTTAAAGTTGCCAAGTTTGGGAACCACTGCAATATGAGATTGAACTTTGCTATCTAACATGCCTATTACGAAGTAATGGTGTATTTTCAGCATCATTTGGGTGCAATTCCTTTTATGGAAATGTAAACTCCCTAGTGCCGTAGCTTTTTGTTTCTACATTCTGTTGGTATCTTTTCTCTTTCCACATTCATACCCTGATGGTTTTGTAACACTAAATTGAATTTGTTGCTTATTTGTTCATCCTGCAAATCTGTTCACACATTTCTCCTCTTGTCTACCCGTTTTACATTGATCCATTATTTGTCCAATTGTAATAGTAACTTAAACCATAAATCTCTCTCCAATTTCAAAGTTAGTCTGTGTGCTTGCTAAATAGAATGTGACCCTGTGGCATTACACAACTGTATGAGACTCTACTCCCAGCATATTTAATGGGAGCCATTGTTCCAAGTAAATCAACAAACGAGAAGAATCAAATTGATACGTGCTCTCATTTAATACACTATATTAGAATTATCCCATTCTCCATATCTCGATTATAGCTACAGTTCTGAACCATGATATATTTTAACAATTGCACATGGAAATATAGCAAAAGGTTGTCGATGTATATTGCATATGTACTGATTTAGCCAGCTCAAAAGAATTCCTTCGCACAATATGCTGTTTCACATGACTTTTTCCATTATAAAATACTACAATTATTGAACATCCTAATTTAGCTTACAGTAATTCACCAAACATCATTCTATTTGCTTACATTTAAAGAAGTGAATATTTTATAAAAAAGGAGGGGAGGGTGTTGCAATTTGGCAAATTCGACACAGTTTGCCCAAATTTGAATTAGCAGAAGCTATCTCTAGATCTGTCTTCTAAAGAATTATATGCAAAACATCTCAATGGATGGGTTTGCTTGAAGCAACAAGGCTCCCTCACAGCTTCTAAGCAGCAAATCAGAATGAGGCAAATCATTTCAGCCCAGCTTTCTCACAGATGCCCAGCTAGCATCCAATGTATTTTGCAGTTTTTCATGTAAGCATTTATGTTTACAGAACAGGCAGTGCTCACCTTTATGAAATACGGTAGCTGGGATTAAACCTAGGGGGCTGAACTCCCCAGCAGGATTTTCAAACCATTATTACATTCTTGGCATAGTCATTTATTTGTCCACTCAGTTTTCTTTCGAAACATTTTGTTGATTCATTTTAGTAGAAAAATATATTGCTTGCTGACACATCACAATCAAAGTATGTTTGGCCATGAGATCTAAGCAATAGTTTTTTTAAAAAAAAAAACCTCAAAAAGATATGGCTCTGCTTTCTCTTATGTTGTGGAACCAATAGAGTTATTCTGATCTTCTGAGTCGAGTCTGTCTCTAATAACATGAACATTTTATGAGATATTGTAGGACTTCAATATCTTTTGGTACGAACAGAAAGTTTTCTTATAATACAAAATAAGGGTCTTTACTTTTAGGGGTCTCATGGCACCACAGAATTTTGTCCAGCAGCTTTTCTCAACGTATTCCAGACGCCGTCCTCTTTTGCGAAGGCTTCTTAATTTGTCTTCAAGCTGTTGCAGCATTTGCCTGTCTCGATTTGGTAAAGGCCGACCATCTCTGCACTATTAAGGAGAATTATAAGAAAAAGTGCAACATTTTTATATTAGTATTACAATCTTTTTGTTTAATTCCAATCATTACTTTTGAAAAATGAGTTTGAATTTCAGTTTAGTTCAGTTAATTTTAAAAAATCTTTAAAAAAATTAAGAACTCGTTTCTAAAGGGATGGGATTTCCAATTCAAAAGTACTGTAAATGAAATACTTTATTTTTTGGAGTATAAGACGCACCTTTTTCCCCCTCAAAAAAGAGGCTGAAAATCTGGGTGCGTCTTATACACTGAATACAGCATTTTTTGCCTCCCAAAAGCCCACCCCCTTCACCAAAATGGCTATGCATAGCCTTTAGGAGCCTTGCAGTGTCCTCCTGGGGGCTGGGGAGGCAGAAATGAGCGAAAAATAGACTGTTTTTTGCTCGTTTCCCCCCCGCCCATTCCCCAGGAGCACTCTATCAGCCTCCTAAAGGCTATGCATGCCCTTTTTTTGACAAAAAACAGGCACGTTTTCATGAAAAATGGGCTGTTTTTTGCTTGTTTTGGCCCCACCCCATCCCCAGGAGCATTCTACAAGCCTCCTAAAAACTATTCATGCCCTTTTTTTGAAAAAAAAAAATGGAGCCGTTTTTGGGACGTCTGCAGAGTGCAAAACCTTTCTTTTTTTAAAAAAAAAATGCCTCTTCAAAACATTGGTGCATCTTATACTCCGAAAAATACAGTATTATGCCAAAATCTGAGTTTCATCTCTTTTAATACAAACTTCATTTAAACAAACAAAAACTCCTAAGCAGAATGCAAATTAATAATACAAAGAACCATATATAATAGAGTAGTAACTTTTCATAGTTATTGGAGTTATCAGCAAATTAGATTATTGAGCTACTAAAATGTGAATGAATGAAAATGAAATCATACATGAATACATATTGTATTTTGAAATAATGAAATAAAATTCTACTTTAACATATATTGCATTTTTCATATGTCCAAATTCCAGACTAATAATGAAAGTTAGATGATCTTGAAAAAGCATGGAATTAAAGTCCTAAAAGTAATGAGTGAAAGTAGCACCAAACCTTTGATTTAATTCTTTGAATATTTTGCTCAACATCTTCAATATCTTCAGTGTTTTCCAAGCGTTCATAACTAGCATTTCTTGTGCCTTTTATAAGGTTTAGAGGCAAAGCAGACATACCATAAGCCTGGAGAAAAATGAAACAGAGCATTAACTGTTTCCAACATTTCTAAAGGATCATCATAATTAGTTCAAAATCAATATTTTAGTTCTAGTATCAAAATGTTGCTTTCAAACTTATTCTTTTGTGACCATTTTATACCAAATACTCACAAAGCATAAAGACAGTTTATGCTCTCTCCTTACCAGGAAGAAGAGTGAAGTACAGGATACAGAATTCACCCAAAATACTGGTAAAAACTTGGTTATGTAAAAAATAAATAAACCTAATAAGAAGAGATAAAATCAAATGGTGTACAATAATAGTTATTTGGGGACTTCCTGGGGGCGTGGCCTGTTGCCGAGGAGGGCTCCACCAAGCTCCTCAGAGATCTGGTCTGTATATCTAAATAAGATCATAGGTATCTCCCCTTTTTGGCTAAGAAAGGGGCAGGGAGTAGCTCTGTAGGCAAGGGTCTATTCGTAAACCACAGTCTTTTTCTTTTTTTGGCTGTGGATAGAGATTAGATCCAGCCGGAGCGGAGCTTTTATCTCCAGCCAGTTCTTCTCAGCTGCCTTTTTTTTTTTTTGGTGTGGATAGAGATTAGAGCCCGCCGGAGCGGAGCTTTTATCTCCCGCCAGTTCTTCTCAGCTGCCTTTTTTTTTTTTTGGCGTGGATAGAGATTAGAGCCCGCCGGAGCGGAGCTTT